GCCTGCGGCCCGAGGGGCTGGCGTGCGCGGCCGCCGAGGGCGGCGAGCCCGGTCGGCTGGAGACGGCTTCTTACGTCTTCTTCGGCATCGTGTTGGCCCTCATCGGCATCGTCTTCCTCATGGTGCTCTACCTGAACCGCCGCGGCATCAAGCGTTGGCTCCACAACCTCCGCGAGGCTTGTCGCGACCAGATGGAGGGCTACCACTACCGCTACGAGCAGGACGCCGATCCCCGCTGCACCAGCGCCATCGGCACCCCCGGCCTCTGACGGCACCCGCAGCATCCCGCCCTCGCCCCTCCGGCATCCCCGGCATCCGCCCGCCATGCCGCCCCTCGACGCCTCCGCTCCCGGCATCCACCTCGCCCCAGCCCCGTTCCCATCGCCTCACCATGGCACCGCCAAAAATTAGTTTCTGAGGACGAGCCGGCCTCGGGGATGGGTGCTGGAGTGCTTCAGAGTGGGGTGCGCCCTCCCCGGAGGGCTCCAGACCGGCTCTCCCTGCCCGTGCCCTAATCGACCCTGTAGCGCTGATTCCCACAGGGGACCAGGCTGGATCCGTTCCCCCCCCGCCCCATCCCAGTGCCCACGGGCAGGGGGAATCGCATCGGATCAGCCCCGCGGGATGCCAGCACGCAGAGCCCCGATGTTCCCGGGAGGATTATGAGCTGCTTCCCGCGCCTCCTCTCCAGCGGCAGGTTTCTTCGGCGGACTGCGGGATGCCACGCTGCCGGCGGGGCTCGGCACCGCACGCACGTGAGTGTTTGCTTGGCACGTCCCGGGAAGCAGCGGGCAATACCTGAAACTGTCCTCCTGGATGTTCCTGGAGCCTGGACTTGACTTTGACCATGTACAGCTCTCTTTCCTATTAGATTTCTATTTGACAGATGCAAAACTTGATTTCTTTTTTTTTCTTTTTTTTTTTTTTTTGCTCCAAACACAGAGGAAAACTCACTGTCCTGCCGCTCCCCTTGAGAAGCGATGTGCTTTTCCGAGCCCATTTATCCATTTGGTTCTGTTCGATGACATTTCCAGCTCTTTCCAGGCACAAAATGATGCAGCTGTGTAGGAAACGCCTCTGCCGGCTGCGTGCATGTTCCCCAGGGCATGCGGGGGCAGCCCTTTTCTGACTCTAAAATATATCCTAGACTAGGCTGTCTCAGCACTTTGTAATTCAAAATGAGTGAAGCAAAAGCTCTCGACCTAGTTCACTCGCCCGTGTTTGCTTTAGAACCGTGCCTGTTACTATATCCTAGAGCAAATATATTGAAAGCTGCATCCACTCTATTGTCTATTTTGTATCAAGCTTCTTGCAATGATTTCTGAATATCCACTTGGCTGAGGTGATGTTATCACTGTTGGTTTGCCGGAGGAAGGCAGCTGTGGGCTCCTCTGTAGTTTTGCTGGTGCTTAGAAACTTCTTTTCCTGGGCTGGTTTGGTGGCCAGGGATGCAGAGAGGTTTTGCATTGTGCATTGAGCTCAGGCTCTGTTGGTCCTGATCCTTCCCTGGTAGCAGGGCAGAGACTCAGGAAAATTATCCAGGTAATAGGTCTCTAAAGCAGTTTTTATCTCCTAGGAGTTCTGGTACCTAATTCATGAGACACTGGAGCGCTGAGCATCTATAGATGTGGGGAGAGGCTGCGCAGGGCTGTGACTCACAACATTTCCCAAAATTAAGCTTAAAATGCTGAATCTCAGTGCCGGGCTGAAAACTTAATTGTTGCATTTTGATACATCTGTGTTTGCCTTTCTCTGTACCGGGAGGCTGATACGGGCAAGCCAGGCAGAGGTGAGGACCAGGGCTGCATCCTTGCTGCCCTGCAGCCGCACTGGGACCAGCACCGGTGTTTGCCTGGTGCTTTGGGATCCTTGACGCAGGGAGCGGCAGGTACCCAGCATGCTGGGTTTGTAAATAAGAATTTTTGGGGATTTATGGTCCCCTGAGCCTGCATGTGTGTATTCAGCTCCTGTACTGGGTGGAAAGTTCTGCTGGGGGAAAGCACAGTTATTTCCATCCCAGGCATTCCTGGAGGCCCCAGGAAGGATGCGACCTGGTGCAGGCTCCTTTGCATTTTCCCCCTTTGCATTTCCTCCCCTTGCAAAGCCCAGTATCAAAGTAGACAAGCCCGGAAAGGGGAGCTGGTGCAGAGCTGTGTGCCTGGGCTGTATTTAGGTAGGGATATGGCACTAGGAGTCAAAATGAGTTTCCTGGGTGCTCTGGGCTTGTCCTGCTGAGCAGGGAGCTGGTTCCCCACTGGAGCCAGGTCCTGGCTCTGCCCCAGTTCCCGGTGAAGGCCCAGAGACCCCCCCACAGCTCAGCTCATTGGAGATGAGTTGCTCTGACAGAAACTTGTTGCATTTTGGGGACCTTTTCCTGAGGTTTTCTCCTCATCCTAGGAGCTTGTGAGCTCTGGTCCCACCTCACCACCCCATGCAATGAGTTACTGGGCAGGTTTATGGGGGAGAAATCTCAGCCTGCCCCTCAACCTCATCCACTTTCCTACCTCCTCCCTCCATTTCCCACCTGCGTGCAGCCAAAACGCAGCCCCTGAGCAAGAGAAAGGGCAACGGGGTGGATTTGCATATCTGGCAGCCACATCTGGCAGAGCACACTGTGCTGGGAGCAAATGTTGCTGAGCATCGTGGGGCGTCCTGGGCTGTGACTCCACCGGAGCAGCATCAGTTCGTGGGTACAGTGCTGGGAAGTCCTGGTGAGATTTAACATCTTGCAGCGAGGAGAAGTGCCTGGAGGGCTTTGCAGGCAGATGGGTGGTTGTTGGACCAGGGAACGCAGCATCCGCCTGGCAGCAGCTGCCGGTGCCTGGTGATAGATGATAGGAAGGAAATTGCCTCCAAGCAGACAGAAAAGTGGCCAAACACATCCTGGCCCCGAAGCCCTTTGGCAAAGGGGTTAGCTGGCGTGGGCAGCCGGTTGCTCCAGCTTTTTCTGAGGCCAAAGGGAGGGATGCAGTGGCTTTTGGTCCCCAGGGATGAGGACATTCCTCCTTTTGGCACTGAGCAGCGGGAGGTTCGGAGCATCGCGTTCCCCATCCTCACTGGGTGCACCAAGACCCCGGGCTGCGTGCTCCGACTCCCTCCAGGGAGGCAAAGCCCCGTCAGCCCAGCAAAGGTGACGTGCGAGCGGTCAGATGTGGGTGGTTGGGTAGATAGCCAGCTGCAGGAGCGTAATTCTTGTGGCTTGTTAACGTTAATATTATTCTGCATGGCGCATACCCCAAGCATGACAAATCAGCAGGATTAGGGAACCTCTGGATTAGTGAAACCAAGACTTGTCATCAAGCCGAGACTCAAAATGTGCTTTTTGGGTTCCCAAAGACAGCTGCACGTTTAGAGAAACCCAGCTGCCATCACATTTCTGTGCGGTCCCTTTCCATGAAGGGCTCAGCGGACGACGAGAACTTCCCAGCACCCCGAGACTTTGGCAGCAATCTGCCACCCAAGTGGAAAGTTACCCTGACAGCTCCTTGAGCCAAATGAAATGCAGGATATAAACAGCATCTGTGGTGTGAATCAAGCAAAGGATGCTCAGAGCCCTCTGCAGTGGCTTGTCACAGAAAAAGAGGGGAAAAAACCCCAAAATGTCTATTTATATGCCCCGCATATGAGATGCTTATAAGCTGCCAGTGCTTTCCAACCCAGCATGGTCTTTCAGATCTGCTTTTCCTTCCTTATATCCCAAAGACCTCTGCTGTTTCTTGGGCCGATCCGGCCAAGAGGCAAGCAGTGAGATTTAGCCGAGGAGGTGGACGTGGGTACAGAGGGAGTTGGGCCAGGCAACGCTGCCTGCCCTACCTGCATCCATCCTCCCCCTGCACACGTCCTTGTGGGTTTTAGGTGCTTGTGTTGCTGGACCAGGGCATCCCAGGTGTGCTTTAAGAAGCATTTTTCCTCAAGTTTGGTGGAAGTTTGTCAGGATTTGTCAAGTGGAAATAACTGGGCTGGAGCATCATCCTCATCCCTGCTGACCGTGGGGCTGCGACACCCCAGCACTTGGGCAGGGAAGAAAGTCAGCCACTGGCTGCCTCCCCCTTCCAAAAACACACAGAATTAATAAGAAGTAATTCTGCCCAAGTGTCTTCAACCCTGTGAAGCTTCACTCCAGGCTCCTTCATCCTCCTCCTCTGTTAGCAGGGATTAACCCAACCACCTCCGGAGGAAGGAAGAAACCCTCTGCTTTTCATTTATTCCTTTAGGAAGTGCAAGTGGGAGCTGTCACCCTCATGCATTGGGGAAACCGAGGCACAAAGCAAGCAGGGCTAAGTTCCTGATAGCAGGAAAGGATTTGAGAGAAAAAAAACCACAGAAATGGATTTAAAACCTCGGCAGGGTTCACTTAAAACTCTGGGCAGCTCTGGAACCTCCAAGCCTGGGAAGTGCCCTCTCTGTTTGTCCTTCCTCTGGCTCAGAGGTGACCCCTGCACCTTGCCAAAAAAAGTCACAATTAAATAGGATCCCACCTATTTATCTGTAAGTGCTTCTCATTAGCTGTGTTGGGATAATACTGGGGGACGGGGGCTCCTGGTGCGGCTGAGCACTGACCCACTCAGGACAGCGATGAGCCCTCAGTGGCAGGGAGGGGGCTGGGGACCTGTCCTGGGGGAGAGGGGCTGGGGGGACGCAGCCAGGGTACAGGGTGGCAGGTCAAAGCCCCCAGCAAGAACAGTGGTGTGCCAACCCCCGGGGTGGCAGGGACAGGCAGGAGAGGGACAGGCAGGGCTTGTATGGGCTGGGACAGACAGAGGTAGGCAGGGCAAGGATGCTGAGGCAGGGACGGACAGGCACAGGATGGGCAAGGGACAGGCAGATCCGGGACCTGGAGAGGCAGGGATGGGCAGGCAGGGCACCTAGGACTGGTCAGAGCTGGGATGGAGGGGAGGTAGTTCCCCACACCCCCAAAAAGGGTCTGAACCCCAGTAGCTCGGGCTGCAGCCCCATGACCTCATGCCCTCCCTGCCACACAGGTCCCCAGAATGGGGCCACCTCGTCCTCCTTGGGGTGGTTTTTCACCTCATCGCATGTCTTCAGCCCTGCAGGGAGTTGGCACCGCACAGCCTGGGCAGATGGGGAAGGACATGTTTCCACTAATCTGCCCCAATCTGGATTATTATTTTTTTTTCAAAATAAACCTGCTTTCCCAGCTGTTTTAAGCAAGTTTTTGGCACACTGGGGACAGGTGGGATTCTGGGGATGGGGGGGAGAAGCTGGCAGGGGTGGAGGCAACGAAGAGGGTAACGTGTCTGCTGGGTGT